GGCTGGCTGGGGAGTGCAGGGTCCTGATCCCTCTCCTCCCCAGGAAGGCCCAGGAGAGCCAGAAAGAGATGAAGCTGCTGCTGGACATGTACAAATCGGCCCCCAAAGAGCAGCGGGACAAGGTGCAGCTCATGGCTGCTGAGAAGAAGACCAAGGCCGAGGCGAGTGGGACCTGTGCGGGGATGGGGATGGGGCTCTGGCGGGTGGGTCTATGGGTAGGCTGCAGATTGAGGGGTAAAGTCCTCCTGGCTCTCTGTATGGGAGCGTTTGGGGCCGTGACGCCGGCTCTCTGCCCCGCGGGGGGAGGAGCTGGGGGGTTCTGGGGCCGTGACGCCGTCTCTCTGCCGCGCGGGTGGAGGAGCTGGGAGGTCCTGGGGCCGTGACGCCGTCTCTCTGCCGCGCGGGTGGAGGAGCTGGGAGGTCCTGGGGCCGTGACGCCGTCTCTCTGCCGCGCGGGTGGAGGAGCTGGGAGGTCCTGGGGCCGTGACGCCGTCTCTCTGCCGCGCGGGTGGAGGAGCTGGGAGGTCCTGGGGCCGTGACGCCGTCTCTCTGCCGCGCGGGTGGAGGAGCTGGGAGGTCCTGGGGCCGTGACGCCGTCTCTCTGCCGCGCGGGTGGAGGAGCTGGGAGGTCCTGGGGCCGTGACGCCGTCTCTCTGCCGCGCGGGTGGAGGAGCTGGGAGGTCCTGGGGCCGTGACGCCGTCTCTCTGCCGCGCGGGTGGAGGAGCTGGGGGGTCCTGGGGCCGTGACGCCGTGTCTCTGTCCCGCGGGTGGAGGAGCTGGGGGGTTCTGGGGCCGTGACGCCGTCTCTCTGCCCCGCAGGTGGAGGAGCTGGGGGGTTCTGGGGCCGTGACGCCGTCTCTCTGCCCCGCAGGTGGAGGAGCTGGGGGGTCCTGGGGCCGTGACGCCGTCTCTCTGCCCCGCGGGTGGAGGAGCTGGGGGGTTCTGGGGCCGTGACGCCGTCTCTCTGCCCCGCAGGTGGAGGAGCTGCGTGGGCGGGTGCGGGAGCTGGAGGAGAAGGAGAAGAAGGAGAGCAAGAAGATGGAGGAGGAGGACGCCCTGCGCAAGATCAAGCTGGCGGAGGAGCAGATTGAGCACCTGCAGAAGAAACTGGCTGCTACCAAGCAGGTGCTGAGAGCGGCAGGAGGGAGGCTGATGGGGGA